TTGCAAGGGATCAGCAACAGGACTTTCTCGCAAATGATCAGCGTGAACCCCAAAGCCGGGAATATGGTGGATCAAAAATCCAGACCACATTGTTGCTGCGGAGATGACACAGCCGGTCGAATATGGAGGACCAAAGCTATCAAGATGGATCCATCGTGGAGTCTCGCAACTCTCCCCCCTCACAGATCAAAGAAGACCCTGATGGCAGCATGGGAGGGATCAGGACACCTTCTGATCATGCGAACTCTTCTCCAGGCGCTTGCATACTCCATAAATTACTCCACATGTAGACCACAGCAACGCAAGGTTCTCCAGACGGAATGACTTCGGAGTGATGGGAGCCATTGAGTCCAGACCGGTGATTGGCATCACGGCTTCTCACCCACATGCTGGATCCGAAGCCGTTCAATTTGGACCGTCTTGGGTCGTGGAGGTACGGTCTCTTGCTGGACTGGCTGCACCTATACACCAAGGCGCACCAGTAGCCCCAGAGTATGTGTGGTGATATTAGAAGTTCACGATGCGCTTATTCCCAACCTTCACCCGATTACCACCAACAAGCCCATATTCATTCCAATTCAATCCACCTTTCCAGAATAATTGATCGAAATACAAACCTGTCGACACCATGATTCAATCAAATGATCTCCAAAGCATTCTCAAACGCCTTCAGATTCTGGAGGACAAGGATCAATTGACGACTCTGCTCAACAGCTACTGCACCATTGCAGACTCCAAAGATTGGGAGGGCTACGCAGGCACCTATATCGACGAAGGAGCAATCATGACTTTTGAGTCGTGGGGTGACGTGCACGGCAAGGAAAACATTGCTAAAGCCGCCAGTGCCGAGCAGCAATTTGAAGGGCTGCAGCACACCATGACCAACATGGAGTTTCAAGTCGATGGATCTGATAAAGCATCTGGAACCGCATACCTGTGGTTCTGCGCCACTCCAGAGACGGCCAAACCAGAAATCAACTATGCATTTGGTGGACCATATCGTTTTGAATTTCAGAGAACCCCAAAAGGTTGGAGGATTTCTCATATGTGGCTACGAAAGATCTGGGCTCAAGGCAAGGATACCAAGGGGGTTTTTGGGGCAGCTTGAGTAGAAGATCGTAGTGACGCCTCAGAATCCAATTCAGATTGAGATAGTAACATACATTGTCACTCCATGTCCTACCATTAACGGTGTCTCTACACTTTGTACGATATCATACGCTCGGTAGTGCTGAACAAGAAAATATCCTTGTTCTGTGGAGAGAAGAGCCCAGTACGCAAGTCAGTGCCAGAGCCATAAATCCGATGGTCAGGCGGAACGATATCGGACTTTGTTCGTTCCAATAGCCCGAAATCCCCCAATTGGATCTCTTTGACTGTATCTTACAAGCTCTTGTCTGACTAGCTTTTATCAAGCATATAACATCTTTACATCGCGCATTAGAATTAAGAAGGCAAAAGAAACAGGATCACGCTTCGAAGTTTACTTATTGAGCTACACCAGGATTACAGATGGACCAAACCTTCTCCTCGACGCTGCTGCAAGGCAAAGTCGGCCTGGTTACGGGCGCCGGAACCCCTTATGGCATTGGCAGAGAACTGATCAAGAAACTGGCTGCGGCAGGAGCAGCGGCTGTCTATGCGTGCGACTTGAACATGGCGGCTATTCCGTCATTGAAGGAAGAATGCCAAAATTTGGGCTACAAAACCGTCATCGAAGGGCGGCCCTTGGACGTCTCGAACGAGGAGCAGACGGTTAAAGTGCTGAAAGAGATTGTAGTCGCTCATGGTCGATTCGATTTCTATATTGCAAATGCCGGGTTTGCCAACTATCGGTATGGCGCTGCGGAGTATCAACTCTCTCTATGACGATTGCTGACATGGGTTCCAGAAACCTCAACGATACAGAAATGGTTCATTATGACCGTCAAATTAATGTGATGCAGCGCGGTGTATTTCTTGGAATCAAATATGGTAGCCAGGCCATGGTAGTCACCTCTAGCGACAAGCCGGCTCCTGGAGGAGCCTTTGTGGTGACAGGATCCTGTGCTGGATTCTTGGGCTCCTATTCCGATCTCCCCTACGGTACTGCATCACTTGAGCCCCTTAGAGATCCAGTTAATTTCGTTCCAGTTTGGATAGACTGATTGATGTATGTACAGCAATCGCCAAAGGCTCTCTCCACAGTTTGGTTTCGGCGGCCTCTGCACAGCTCGCGACCAGCAACATCCGTGTCAATGGCGTAGCACCGGGATTTACCAAGAGCAGCATTTTGACCGTCTCAGAGAAGGCCGAGTCCGGAGCGTACGACAATAACTTGGAAGCCCAGAAATTACAGCAAAACCATATGTGGTTCTTCGAGAGGGCCGGCCTCCTCAAAGCCCCCGAGTATTACTATAATCGCCTCCAAGACCCCGGCGAGATTGCTACCGTGCAGCTGTTTCTCGCCTCGGACTTGTCTTCGTGTATCAATGGGCAAATGATCCTGGCAGACAGTGGCAAGACCGCGGCAGCAACGGGGGAAGCCTGTACGGGGCCTGTCCCACCGGTTAAACCACTCGACTTGTCTTGATAGAAATCGGTCCGTAGAGACAGTGGGTCAATTACCTTGGGGCTTCTCCAGAATACCAACAGGCATGTAGCAAGGGGAATTTCCGAGATCCTGGAGCCCCGCGAACTTATTCAATCAAGCATTTGGGATGTACTTTGAGGAGTGTGTTATTCACGAAGAGGTGGACATCAGGAGTAGACAAGGAGCCAATCGAAAAAGCCGACTTCGATATTACGTCCCTCTCCTCGTAACCCAGGAGAAAACTAGGTTCCTTAGTGACCGCAGGCCCAAGTGGACACTTCTGGCTCAACACCGAAATGAGTCCGCCCGCCTATGACGGATTTTTGCTCTGAATGAGGGTCAACCTTCTTTGAAATTATTGTATTTAGAACATCATGACAGTGACAGTGAGCATGAACACAGTCTAGTACAATTAATCTCCAAGTCTAAACCAACATGTTGTCGACGTTGACTATTGCGGTTTTGTTGTTGGTGTTGTTGGGGGCATGGAAGCTGCTTCGTATGGGCCGCAGAGATTCCAGACTCCCACCCGGTCCTCCTACAGTACCCGTCTTGGGCAATGCACATCAGATTCCATTGACAGGTTTGGGAAAGAAGTAAGTTAAACTCCTCGATCGTGTGGTTTTGTCGATTTCACGAATCTAAATAAAGCTCAGATTCCACGAATGGGCAAAGGAATATGGCAACATCTACTCCCTAAAAGTCTTTGACTCGACCATGATTGTGCTTGCGGATCGGAGGGCCATCTATGAACTACTCGATAAGAAAGGAAGCATCTACTCGGATCGTCCCTATTTGGCGGTGCCCACTTTCATGTCGAGAGGACATCATATGACCTTTGAACAGACGACTCCTGCATGGCGAGAAAAGCGATCCGTCATCACTCGAAACTTGAACCCAAAAAACCTGGACGAGAAGCATTTCCGAGTTCAAGAAGCAGAGTGAGTGAATCATAAACCTCAGTTCAAAGATTAAGTTGGGTTTGGGAAAGTTGACCTCGCCTTAGATCGATTGTGTTTATGAACAACCTGCTTAAACATCCGGACAAAGCATTTGATTACGCAAGACTCTACGCTTCCTCGGTGGCCTCGACGCTCTCTTGGGGCTTTAGAGCAGCTGACTTCAACGCTTTTTTTTACAAGAGGTTCTATGACTTCGTGGATCAGGTGAGATCTCCTCCCTTTGGTCCGCGGTGCGTAGCTTACCATTTCCGCTAGTGGCTAGAGGCAATCGAACCCGGCGCAAATCCTCCAGTTGATCAAGCACCTTGGCTCTGGTATCTACCTGGGTCGTGGAAAAAGCGGGCATATCATGTTCGGGGACTGATGGACACGACCTGGAGCGAGGCTCGAGAAATGGTGCAGAAGCGTCGAGAAGCAGGCGATATTCGAGATTCCATCATTGACCAGAAGATCAGTGAATACGACAAGAAAGGATGGCCCATGTCACAATATGCGTTCAACAATCTCTTTGGAGAGTTGCTCGAGGCTGGTGCTGATAGTAAGTCCATATCTTACTGAGACTGTTCGAAATGATCGTCAAAAAAGGGTTGCCAATGTCTGACCTTCCCAGCAACGGCCAACATGTTATTGACCATCATCCTGGCCGTTACCAAATTTCCCGAGGTTCAAATAAAGGCGAGGGAACAGTTAGACGCAGTCTGCGGAACTGACCGAACACCGTTGTTCTCCGACTTTGAAAAGCTCCCTTATATCAATTGCATTATTAAAGAAGCTCTCAGGTGGCGACCTACGTGAGTCAGGCTACAGTTCATTGACATGATCAAATAAGCTTACCGAGTACTTAGGTCCGACTTAGGTATTCCACATAGACTCAGCCAAGGTTTGTCATTTGGTCATTTCTTACTCTGTCTCCATCTAAAACCTGACAATTTTGAACTTCAAGATGACTGGTTCAATGGAATGTTCTTCCCTAAAGATTCCACAATTTGGCTAGCAGCATGGGCTATCCATCAAAACGACAACGAGTATTCAGATCCAGATCGATTCAACCCGGATCGATTCCAGAATCACAGAAAACTAGCAAACGATTACGCCGTAGGTCCCGACTGGGAGATTCGAGATAAGTTTACTCCACGCGCCCCTAACTATATTCAATAAGCTAACTTACCTATACATCACTATGGTTACGGTGCTGGACGTAGGATGTGTCCTGGGATTCATCTTGCTGAGCGAAGTATGTGGCGGATTGCGGCAAAACTTCTCTGGGCTTTCGAGTTTGAAGAACTGCCTGACAGGCCCCTCGACATCAATGCGTACACTTCGTCCAACTTGGTACGGCCTATGGAATATGAAGTTAAGATCAAGCCTCGTAGCGAGCAGCATCAAAGAGTCGTGGAGAGAGAGTTGATCAGTGCCCTGGATTTTTTGAGTCAGTATGATTAGAAATCAGCATGGCATGGTACTCTACGCTGATATGCATTGGCCGAACTGAGCATGGTCTCTACTTATGGTTGTGAGAACAATACAGAAATATGCAAAGAGAGCTACAAGATTCTCCTCTGTTACCATCTCCCAAAACCGAATTATCGCTCTGCTTGACACAACCCTTTCAATGCGCCGAGTAGCCTCCACAAACCGGAAGAGTGATACCCGTCACATAAGATGCGGCATCCGACGCGAGCCACAAGGAACCTTGAGCAACCTCATGAGGCGCCGCCCAACGCTTCAGAAAGGCAACATCACGGAAAGCTTCATGAGTCGTTCCAATGGTTTTGAGACTGGCTACGGACATCTCGGTCAGAATTGCCCCTGGGGCAATGGTGTTGACTCTGATGCCTCGATGCCCATTCTCCAGCGCCGCGGACTTGGTCAGACCCACTACAGCATGTTTGCTCGCAGTGTACGCGGGCATGTTGAACTGGGGTTTGAACGCATTGATAGAGGCGATGTTGATAATGGACCCTCCATGACCCTGCTTGATCATCTGCTGCAATTCCCATTTCATACATAGTGCAGGCCCTTTAAGATTGACAGCGATAACCCGGTCGAAATATGCCTCGTCGAAATCCTCAGTCGGCGTTCTGTCTGGGGTGAGGGCGGCATTGTTGACTGCGACGTCTAGTTTCCCAAATTTGGCGACCGTTGCCTCGACGAGCGCCTTAACGGAAGCAGAGTCAGACACATCGGTCTTGACGAACAAAGCTTGACCACCCGCTTTGTTGATACCGTCGGCGACTTGTTGGCCGAGCTTGTCGTTGATATCGGCAATGACGACTTGAGCACCCGCTTCAGAAAATATCTGTGGACGACACATCTGGTCAGTCTTTCCTGATCTACCATTTCTTCACTGATATCGTCACCTCGGCAGTCGCTCTCCCCATCCCTGTCGCAGCTCCAGTCACGATGGCCACCTTCCCACGTAGACTGTCAAAGACTTGGGCTCGTGGTACATCGATGGTAGGGACTTCTTGAGGCTCGCGTTCGTCCATGGCGACGTGATGTTAGCCGTTAAACAAGTCAAGTCCTGTTTGTTAGTGGGATCGGCTAGCTTCAGACTTGATCGTGTCTGACTTGTCGTCTATTTTGTCGGTAGAAGTGCCTAGACTTGCGTCAATCAGCGACACAGCAAAAAGGGTTTACACACAGCAACGTTGAATTTAGTAGGGTACGTCGTTGTTGACTCAATGCCGTCGGAACGACTTCGGCCAGCACCGAGACAAGGTCCACACTGACCCACTCACGCTTGGGTGATGCACCCATGCTCACGTGCTTGAAGATCATGATTGGATAGAAGACCCCCGCCATCGAGGTAGCTACAACCTTTTTGAAGAAAGCATCAATTCAAGTGATCAACCCCAAGTTTGGAGTATTGCGATCCGGAGCGTGGCCTTGACTTACCGGCTTTTCAGTATGGCCGATCACCAGCACAGACTCAATGCCACACGCCCATTAAGCGGTAAATTGGCCATTGTGACCGGGGCCACCAGAGGTAAGACACGAGAAGCAGGTCAGGGACACTTAAGACCACTGGTCTAATGAAAATGCACTGTAGGCATCGGTCTGGCCGTCGCGAACAACCTAGCCAGCAAAGGCTGTTCGCTTGTCTTGGGGTACACCAGCAAAAGCTCCATCAAGCTTGCCGACGACCTCGTTGTCGAGTTCAAGAAGAAGTACGATATAGATGCAATTGGAGCTCAGGCCGATGTGAGCGATGAAGCTGGGGCGAGCACTATTGTGGCATTGGCAAAGAAAAGCTTCACCAACTCCCACACTGGTCAGTTTCAAATCGACATAATCGTCAACAATGCCGGCATCGCCCCTCTCAAACCATTGGGTGAGATCTCCCACGCCGACTTCCACCAAGTCTACTCAGTCAACGTGCTCGGTCCTATCTTCCTGATGCAAGCGTGCCTGCCATACTTGCCACAAGATCGATCTGGTCGCATCGTGAACGTGTCGAGCGTGGGAACTGCATTGGGGCTTCGAGACCAGACCATCTACGCGGGTTCAAAAGGTGCTTTGGAGGCCATGACTAGAGTCTGGGCCCGCGAACTGGCTGAACGTGCCACGGTAAACTCGGTCAATCCTGGCCCAGTTTTGTCTGATATCTACGTGGCCTGTCCGGATGACATCAAATCCATGCTCGGGCAATGGAGTCTGGTCTCTCCGCTCGCAGCTGTCCGACCGCAAGACGACAAGGAAATACAGACCTGGGCGAAGTTTGGAGGTCGGCCGGCATATCCCTCCGAGGCGGCGGGAACTATTGCTATGTTGTGTTTGCCGGATGCGGCATGGACTACGGGCAGCGTAATCTCGGCGAACGGAGGAATGCGTTTTTCGTATTGATTTTAGTATCAACATCTAGATTCTTTTCCCCGCTAATCGGTCCCGCATCAACCTCCTTGTGTTAAGCATGGACATAAGACTGTCGAGTAATGGGGTACATGATAGACCCTGAACCTACCAATGCCACCGAAGTCGGGCCGTAAGAAGTCATCCTATAGTCATTCTAGAACGTTTGTATCAATTTCCGTTGCATTTATCGACCATTGGAATACCCCCAGGTGCAAAGACGACTCATATCGTTTCCATTCTCGAGTTTTCCGATCGAATTGAAATCACGGAGTATCCCCCAGTGGACCATCAGGAGACTAGATTCTTCCACGTCGAGACCAAGAAGCCAGTAGCAGTAGAGTTTTCGCCGCGTTCATTCGATCGGACCGGATGCCCATATGCCCATATGGCCAGATAGACATCCACATCTACGAACCTCTTGTGACAGGCAGCGTTCCCCCAATCGAAATCGATCATGGCATCAATGACCAACGGTAGTCAATCTCTATCCAACGGACAGGTGAATGGTGCTGGTGCTGATGATGATGGAGATGGGAACGGTTCATGTACATCTCAAACAGATATTCTAATCATCGGGGCCGGCCCAGCGGGTGCTTCACTGGCATGTTTCCTTGCGTCCCACGGAATTGTTGGAACCATGGTGAGCAGAGCTTCGGGAACGGCCGACACACCTCGAGCGCACATCACCAATATGGCGGCACTTGAATGTCTACGGGACATCGACCTCGAAAGAGAATGCCTCCAGGTCTCCACAGACGGAGACTGTATGATGCACACACGATGGTGTCACAGTATGGCCGGACAAGAGTTTGCACGAATCTACTCATGGGGCAACGATCCGAACAGGAAAGGCGACTATGAGATGGCCAGTCCATGCCAGCCTTGCGATCTGCCTCAGACCCTCCTCGAACCGGTTTTGGTGCGACATGCTACGACACACGGCTTCAAGTGCCGCTGGAACACTTCGCTGGTCTCTTTCCACGACCTGGGGCCTGGCGCAGGAGTCATGACCAGATTAAGAGATGACTTGACAGGGCAAGAGTATCATATACGGTCTAAATACCTGTTCGGTGCCGATGGGGCTAGGAGTAGAGTCGTCAGTCAGCTCCAGCTTCCGCTTCTCGGCAAAGCAGGCGGTGGTCCGGCGATTAATGTCCTGGTTAGAGCCGATCTCAGCCACCTGGTGCAGCATCGAAAGGGGAATCTCCATTGGGTCATGCAACCTGACTCTCTGCACCGTGCCTTTGCCCAGATGGCTATCGTCCGCATGGTGAAACCGTGGTATGAATGGATGTTTATCCTCTTACCAAAGCCTGACTGGGATGGTTCTGAGCCAACAAACGATCAATACCTACAACAAGTCCAGGCGTTTATCGGAGATGAGTCCATACCCGTAAAAATCCTAGGCATCTCAAAATGGTTCATCAATGAAACGGTGGCAGAACAATACTCGAGTGGGAATGTCTTCTGCCTGGGTGATGCTGTGCATCGACACCCGCCGTTCAATGGATTGGGCAGTAACACATGTATTCAAGATGCCTTTAATCTGGCCTGGAAGATCGCGTATGTGGAAAAAGGGAGGGCTGCGCCGTCGCTACTGTCGACATACTCTACCGAACGCCAACCTGTTGGTCATTCCGTCATTGTCCGCGCCAATAATGGGTTCCGAGAGCATTCCCGGATCTGGGATGCTCTGGGGATGTTAATGGAAAACGTCGAGGACCGGAGGGCTGCCATGAATCAATTATCAGAGCCCAGCATCAAGGGACGGGAGCGCAGGAAAGCGCTGCGGAACGCAGTTCAAAACTCTTGCCACGAGTTCCATGGTCTTGGAATCGAGATGAATCAGACATACACGGGAATGGGAGTCTTTACGGCCGACGAACAATCTCCTTTCACTCTCACTGGCCGAGCAGCCGAGGATCCCATCTTGTATCATATGCGAGGCACATACCCTGGTCGCCGTCTCCCACATGCCTGGTTGAATCGACGGGTTCCAAATCAGGCCCCAACCTCCACCATCGATCTCGCAGGGAAGGGTGCCTTCGCCCTGTTTACCGGACTTGGAGGCACTTCGTGGCTGACGGCCGCCGCGGCGATAGAGAGGCAATTGTCCGGAGGTGTTCGTTTGAATGTGCACTCCATCGGGATCGGACAAGACTGGGAAGATGTTTACGGTGAATGGGAGGCCGTAAGAGGAGTGCACGAGTCTGGAGCGATCCTGGTCCGACCTGATCGCTTCGTCGCGTGGAGAGCTCAGGAGTGTAGTGGAGATCCGAAGGATTGCGAGTCGAAACTCATGACAGTTATGCAGGAAGTACTGGGACTGTCATCCATGAACTCTCATCGAGATCATCTTGTCAATGGGAATAGTTGATAGAGTGGTTGATAGAGAGTCCATCTCGTCACAGGGAATGGATGAAGGGAAATGACTTTGAGGCATAGACATTGATAGGTCAGCTAGAGGTTGAGTCAAGAGCTGTTTATTTTTCCAGGTGCTGCAGATTGCGTCCATATCGAGTCTCGGTATTATGGCTTGTGGACATCCAATTTATACTTGGAAGGTCAAGTAGAAACATAGACATAACGGTTGCGGGCTCTAGACTCGATTCATCCTGTGTTTTACTCTGATGGTATCTCGGGCCCGCAAACCCCAAACCGACCATGCGGAAGATGAATAGGATTGCATGATGCCTGATACCTATGGTTTTGGATGTGAATTCTTTTACGTGTCCAGTATCTAGCCCATCTCCAGCTCACCGGCCTCTCTCGCAAGAACATGCCATTGTTGCGACGTTGTCGACGGAATCTAAGTATACAGTTGGAAATTGCTCGAGTGTGTTACAGGAAATACCTAAGCATGGCAGCAGGGTGGCTAATCGACTGCAAATGGTCGCCACTTGCTCTGCGTTCTCCTCCCAAGCCTGATCAATTCTCGCCCAACTAAGTCTTGGTCGGGGTCTCAACCGCAACACGTCCCTCAGAATATTCGGTCTCTGGCCCCTTTGTTTCTTGGTCGCCGCCCTTGATCTCTTGCTCCAAAGCTTGCTCAAAGTCAATGGCGACAGCATCACCGAACTTGGCTCCGAGTTCTTCCAACGAGATACATGCCGTCTGCGGAAAAGTGGTCAGTTGGTTTGCATGTTCTGGTGGTCAAAGGCAACTTACCTCGGGAAGATAAAACATGCAGGGAATGGTCAGAGCGACAGTGACGGCAACAAAGACCATGTAATATCGCCAGCCGATGCTAGCAAAAGCCTGGGCAGCTGGGGCAGTGGCCCAGATAGAGAAGATATAAAATCCAAAATACGAAATGGTTGCGCCCTTGCTTCGGAGGTGGGTTGGCCAGATCTCACAGCCATAGACGTAGCCGACACATTCCAGGGTGCAACAGAACCAGAATGCGATGATGAAGTAGATGGCCACGGCAGCTCGGGTGCCGTTGACGTTGGAGCCATCGAGATACTTAGCTTGCAGAGCAGCTTCAATCGCGAGCAGGATAGCCATACCCCATCCTCCAATGACTGAGAAGATTCGAATCAGTCAACATGTCGGACCAGAAGGTCTACGCGCAAGGGTGCAAAAGGTCTCGACTTACCAATCAACTTGACTCGACCGATTCGGTCCATCAGATAGACATTCACCCAGCATCCGAGAAAGAGGCAGACTGTCCAGACACAGCCCAGGGCGAGTTGCAACACCGTGTCGTAGCCCAAGTTGCCAAACAGCAATGGGGTCAGATTGGCCAGCACCGTGATGCCTGTGGATTGGGCCATGGACCAGACAAGCAGAGTGCAGATGGTGCGCTTCCTCATGGACGGCGTGGTCAAGATGTACTTCCAGGAGCTGGGCAGGGCGCGATCGAGCTCGACTTGGGCCACGATCTGGGTCAACTCGGCGTGGGCCATGTGACCATCTGGATCTTCTTGAGTTTTGTGGATCGACTGCAGGATCTCTCCAGCGCGTTCGGGTTGCCCATGCTCGACCAGCCAGCGTGGCGACTCAGGAAGGCTCATGAGCGACGCAAACAAAGCCAAAGCCACGGCAGTGGCGATGACGAAGTTGAGTCTCCATTGATAGTCAGTGGCCACGAAATGGAATCCCAGCGCCGCTGCCGACGAGATGATGTAGCCCAGCACGATAGCATTGCCGGCGAGACCGACGAGCAAGCCTCGACTGTGGGCCGGGGAAATCTCGCTCAGATAAACTGGCGTGTTGCTGATGATCATGCCCGCTCCAAACCCCGCGATGTACCGTCCGGTCATGAACATGCCGACATGCACGGCTCCCGCTTGGATGGCATTGCCTAGGATGAGGAGAATGGCAGCCACAGCGGTACAGTTTTTGCGACCCCATTTGTTGGATATAGGGGCTTGGATGATGGCACCGATTAGCGCACAGCCAAAGAATCTGTCAGTGCAAGCATCAGTAAGGAGTTATATCTAGAAGCCACATGTTGCAACACAGTGAAGCACAGTATAGGTCCTCGTACCCTGACACGATTGCGTCCACAAGAGAAGTGGCATTGCTGCCGCTAAGGAACTTAGCCCCGAAAGAGACTTGAGCAAACGAGCCCGCAATCACGTTGTTGGAGTAGCCATAGTTGAAGCTGGCCAAAGTAGCAGTGACAATCAGCTGAACGTTGTTGTCAGTCAGCATTTGTTCACCTCTGAAGCGCGTTTAGGAGCAATGGGATCTCACGTACCAGAATATTCTTCTTGCTAGTGTGCCCCTTGAGGTTGAAACTGTGCGAGCCAGTCATTGTAGCGGTCGTAACAATGAGTCTAAAGTCTGGTGACGATGAGACAGCAGATCTACAGATGAATCGATTGAGGTTGTGAAACAGTCAACATGGCTTTATGTTATCTCAATATTGGGTCACTGAACTGTCTGGTCGACCTCCGCAAACCCCAGAAAACACATGTTCAAGGGGCATTTCCGCAAAAGCCTGGACCTCGGACAGCCACATGACAAACAAATCACCGGTGGGG